AATTTCAAATGAAAAATTATAAGAATTATTTTTTTAAGTGTTTCTAAACCATTGGTGTTTACTGGTGGGTTTGGGTGGGATTTTCATGTGTGCAGGGCTCTGGGGCGGGACCTCCGGAGGCAGGAGATTCAGAAGCCCCAATCTGGGCTGGGGTTGAGGTGGGGAGTATGGAGAGATGGGCGAGTTCCTGAGAGGCGGGAGGAAGCAGTGGGATGTGTGGGGCAGGAGCAGTCAAGAATGGCTCCCGTCTGTGCCTCCTGAAGCCCATGGGTAAGTTCACTTTGTTGAATTAATTTAGATTGTGCCAAATTCAGGGAAATAGCAGACCTTGGAACCATCTTGAAGACAAAAAGATTGGTCCTTTGTGAGCTGTACGGAAGTTGTTGCTTTTTTTTTTTTTTAAAAAAAAATACATTTTTATTGATTTCAGAGAGGAAGGGAGAGAGAAAAAAAAACATCAATGATGACAGAGAATCACTGATCGGCTGCCTCCTGCACCCACTACTGGGGACCTTGTCCACAACCCAGGCATGTGGCCTTGACCAGAACTGAACCCGGGAACCTTCAGTCCATAGGCTGATGTTCTATCCACTGAGCCAAACCAGCTAGGGCAAGTTGTTGCTTTTGATAGGCATTCTTGTTCACATACCAATGTGTTCTTATAAGGGCAGCAATGCCATTTATTTAAGAGCATGTTAGGGACCCAGCCAGTGTCTCAGTGGTTGAGCATCGACCCACAAACCAAGAGGTCCTTGCTTTGATTCCTGTCAGGGCACATGCCCGGGTTTCGGGCTTGATCCCCAGTGTGGGGCGTGCAGGAGGCAGCTGATCCATGATTCTCCCTTATCAGTGTTTCTATCTCTCTATCCCTCTCCCTTTCTCTCTCTAAATCAATAAGAAACATTTTTTTTTTAAAGAGAGCATGTTTGGGGACCTCACCTGTCCACATCCCAAAGCCCTGTGCTAAAGACCACCCAGGGCTCAGAGGCAAGACCTAGTCCAAACCTCTGCATTTATTTTACATCTACTTGAATAACCCCCCCCCCCCAGCTTAGTAGAGTCATTTCAAAGGGGATCTGGATGGGCCTCCGGAACAGGAGGTCAGGAGAGATGGGGTGGGGCGGGGGCAACTGCTCAGAGGCAGCTGGAGGCACTGGCTGATGAGGAGCCTGGTACTAGAGCAGGAGAAGGAAGACCTGTGAAAAGCAAACCCAGAACCCGGAAAGTGTGGCCACTGGGGACAGTGGTGGAGGGACAGTCCTCCATGCTTAATAGTACCTGAGGGCATTGCCATTCAATGGTCCAGCCTCATACCTAGTGGTCACCATTTGTCATAGAGAAAAAGATATGCTGTTGTTAAATGTTTCCCATATGAAACCATTAAAATATGTTTAACCATTGTGCCTAAAGGGGTAAGATTCAGTTATCAGAAACCTTGAGTGAAATCTATTTCTTCCCAAAGATTACAAATGGGTAAGTTTCTGCACATCTTTGGAAAGAGAGGGGAATTCCCAGACAATTCAGACCATCTACTAGGGATCACTCCGCAGGAGGCTGTGGATGAGAGGAGGCCTGAGAGCTCTTCTTTTCAAGCTTTGCCTGGTTCAGCTGCCTGACTGGCAGCTTCAAAGTTAACCTTTTGCAAGGCATCAAAGCGGGTGCCGTGGGGTGCAGGGCCTGGGCACTGTGCCCGGGGACCAAGCACCCTTGGCATTCTTCTCAGAGCAGCTGGCTCACATCCCTCTACAGTGTGGCCCTGGCCTCCTGTGGGCTTTGAATGAACGTACAGGGACAGTGCCAGCAGGGTTGAGCTGGGAGAGGGCTGAGGGTGCCCTTTAGACCCCCGAAGGACATCTTTTCCCTGGTATATGTGGGGCTTTCTGTGAGGCCCTGCTCAGGGGGAGGCTGGCCTGGCAGACAACCATCTTCCCTCCATGGGCAGCGCACTCCCTCACTCCCTCTGGGGCAGAAGAAGGGAGGAGGGGAGGCTGTCAGGGTTGTTATGCAAGGGACCAGCCTCTCTGAACAGCCTGAGAATGACAGGAATGGAGCCAGAGGGACTCAGACACACTGTGGTCCTCCTGTTCTCAAGCATCATTCACTCGACTTTCCCTGGGCACCTGCCACAGGCACCGACTGACCTGGCAAAGTCTAGGGTTGCACCATCCAACTGAAATCTAATCTGAGTCACAGGTGCCATTTATGATTTCCTAGGAGCCTTATTACAAAAGTAAAAAGAAACAGGCAAAATTCATTTAAATATCAGTTTAAGTAATTCAAAAGTTATCATTCCAACATGTAATCAATGTAAAAATTGTGAATAAGATCGCTTACATTCTTTGTTTTTTATACTCAGTGTTCCAAAGCTGGTGTGCATTTTACACTTAGAGCACATCTTGAATCAGACCAGCCACATTTCAAGTCCCCAGGAGCCACATGTGGCTGTCAGCTGCCATTTCAGACAGCATTGATCTAGAGATACAAAAACCAGTAACACCCATTCCCCTTACTGGAGGGGATCATTACCTAGTATGGGGGTGGGCAAACATGTAAGCAGCCAATTATGTACTATTACATTGGAGCTAAGTAAGCACGACAGGGTTCCAGAGTGAGGTGGTCTGTTTAGACTCTAGACCAGCCGTGGGCAAACTCTGGCCCGCGGGCCGGATCCAGCCCGGTTGAAATGAATAAAACTAAAAAAAAAAAAAAAGACCGTACCCTTTTATGTAATGATGTTTACTTTGAATTTATATCAGTTCACACAAACACTCCATCCATGCTTTTGTTCCGGCCCTCCGGTCCAGTTTAAGAACCCATTGTGGCCCTCAAGTCAAAAAGTTTGCCCACCCCTGCTCTAGACTCTAGAGTCTCCCATGTGGGCTCTGGAGACTGGGCTCCTGGGCCCTGCTTTGTCACTTGGTACCCCTGCATGGTGCCTGGCGAGCTGCAGATGCTGGCAAGCATTTAATGAATTGACCACAGGAAGATGCCTATCAGACTGGAAATTTGTAAATGCTGGTCCTGGCCAGAGAGCTGAAAACTCTCTCCATGCTCGTGGAGTGGAAGTGAAACTCCTGGGGGGCAACCTGGCAACCTCCGGGGGAGCTTGTGCCCTGCCACCCACTGATGGATGCGTCTCTAGCATCTTGGGCAAAAGTTCGAAGTTGGAAATGCTGTTTGTCAGAAGAATGAATAGACAATCTGTGGCGTATTATCATGACCTACTCATTCAATGGAAAACCACACAGCAGCCAATATAAAAGAACTAGATCCACGTGTATCCACCTGGGAAAACTCAAAAGCGTATTGAGTGGCAGAAAAGCAAAATTACATGGCATGACAGCGACCTGAACATTTGAAAAAAGACAAAGCAGTTTATAAACGTGTATGAACACTGTAGAACTCTGAGAGGGCTTCAGAGGAGTGGGTGATTCTGGGAGAGGCAGAGAAAGGAAGTATGATCTCAACATTTTATCTCTTCGAAACTTCCGCAAATATGGCAAAAGGCTAATCTACGTTAAGTACATGCTATGAGTGCATGTTAAGGTATTTTCTGTACTTTTCTACATTTGAGCTATTTCATAATGAAAACATCAAAACTCCTCTGAATTAAAAATAGGAATTAATGAACGGCCTTGAGAGTCACCTATCCTTTCTGTGCTGCAGTTTCCACATCTGAAATACGGGATAATAATACCTATGACATTGAGTTGACGTGGGGCAAAAATGTGGCTATTTTTTCATGACCAGTATCTGATAATAGAAGCCCTTAATCAATAATCGTCGTGAATATTTGAGTGCTAACTATGTGCTGGACATAAATGAACTGATTTAATGACAAGAACAAAAGGAAGGCATCCTTATCCCCATTTTACAGATGAAGACACTGAGGCAGAGAGGTTAAGTTGCCCAGCAGTACCAGTTAGTAAGTGGAGGACCCGGGATTTGAGCTCAGCCAGCCAGCCAGGTTCACAACTGGCATTTTGACCCCCTTCCGTATACTGCCTGGAATCAGTGCTGTATCTCTTTCCTTTCCTGGAGACTGAAAATCATTTTTCAAGTCCGCAGTTGCAAACCACTCCCCAGTGCTCAGGGCCCAGTTGAGTCCTGGGAGAGGCAGGTGGTGCCTCCTCTGGCTGCAGACAGCTTGCCATGGACAAGCCCATCTGGGAGACCAAAGTGCTACCAACTGACTTTAGGGGGCCCCCCATGCACCGAGTTCAATCAGCTTATTAAATGCTGCTGAGGCCTTGGCCACCAGCAGTCTCATCTTTACATCTCCCAGCTATAAAAATATCTAAGAGGGGGGCTGGGGGAGGCACAGAAGGAGGAGTTCTGAATCTTAGATCTGCCTTCAAGTTGCCCCGGGATCGAGAGAGAGCAGCTCACCTCCCAGGAAGTCCTGGCAGCCTCAGCAGGGGACCGAAGGGGGTCAGGGCTCCCTTGCAGCCTAAAGACAAAACCGAATGCTCGGAAATTCCTTGGCAGCAGGCTCCACTGTCTGAGCAAATGAATTGTGCCACAGATGAATACCATGTTCCCCCGGGCACTGGCAGTCAACAGTGAGAAGAAAATGAACTTTCTTTTCTACATGCCATTTAATTTCAATATCTCATTTAATTTAAATTGGAGTGACTACACTGAACTGTGGCTTGCTGAGGGTGGGGGTCGGGTGGAAGGAAGCAGCTCTGCCACTTCTTTCTTTAGTATAAACTCTGTAATCTTGACTCATTAAAAAAAAACCCAGGAGTGTTTACGACTTTTGCTATAAGAAAATAACGATACAGTTTTTAAAGTTCAGGAAAAGAGGTATAGAAAAGTGCTTGCCACACTGCTGGGCACACAGGTGATGTTAAATATCGATGCGAAGTCAAATGGCAAGTACGAAAAGAGAGGGCCCTCCCCAAGCCTCTGGAGGCAGCAGGGACCGGGCTGCTCTCCCTCCAAGTCCTGCGAGGGAGCCCCTGCAAGGCTCCCGGCAGCCCCCCTCTTACCTTTAGAAGAGATCAGTGGCCGCCTGGCATCTCAGCCCCTGGAGAGTCGCTCGCTTGCTTGTCTGGGGTGGCCATCTGGGCTGTGGCTGCTCCCTGTCCCCTGCTGGCCTGACTCTCTCCTGAGTCTGCCCATTTGGACTAAATGCCTGCCCTTTGCAGAGAAGGGAAATTATCTTTAAGCTCAAGCCTTCCAATGGCCCCCGTGGCTTTCGAAGCTTACTCTGTGCCATTAATCCCTGGCTCATTCCCCCAGTTCTGGCCTTGAGGATAGAGGAACGGACCAACTGGAGCCCATGCAGAGGACGGAAACCACGTGGTAAAGGGAATCAAACCATGACAGGAGAGGAAGGAGGAAGGACGTGACCATTTCCAAAGGCTCTCCTGGGACTCCTGTGGGGCCGTAGTGGGGGAGTTTCAGGAAATGGTTTATATATAGCAGAGGGGGAAGTTTCTGGCAGTCAGAACTGGGGTGAGCTGCCTCAAGACCCTTGAGTTCCCCGAGTGGGGGTGTGTCAGGCATATGCCACCACACCTGGTTTATGGGGAGGGTTGACCTGGTGACTCTGAGAGCCTGGGAGGGCTGTTTCCAGGCTCCAGGATCATTTTGCACAAACTCCCCTGGTGAGCAGGTGGCCTGTGGCCTGGGGAGGAAAAGCAGACCCCTGTCCCCTGCAGCAGGACTGGTGCCCTCGTAATGGTGGTGGGACTGGGTATTGTGCTCAAATGAAGCCCATGCAAGGCAAGCAGCCCCAGAGCAAGAGAGCAACTCTGATCCTGGCCTGGGGACTTCAAACTGCAACAGGCCAGACAGGCAGCCGCAGGTGAGCGCGTGGATAGTTTGGGTAGAGAGCTACGAGGTCTTCCCACAGGGCCCAGCGCTGTGGTGGGCGGTGAGACCAGCCGGGCAGAGACTGGGATTTCCAGCAAGCAGACAAGAACCAAGTCAGCCATGGCAAGGGCGTCTGCTCAGACCTGTGAAGAGCACCGAATCCACTCATTCACAGCAGTCTGGAGGGGAGACGAGGCTCACCAAGGCAGGGGGTATACGGCCTCCTTTCCCAGCACGTTCCCCCGGCTTCCACTTAGCTCTGGAGCCTTTTGGGGTTCAAATGAAAGCATCACTAAAAGGCTCAACTCTGACCCCCTCACAAGTAAAGAATGTGGTTGGAATTAAAGCCGGCAGTGGACCCTGGAAGGCACAGGAAGTGGTGTTGGGCACAGGAGGTTGTGGGCTGGCCGAGTCCTACCCCCGCCCCATGCCTAGACACCATCTCCGAGTGGGAGAAGCAGAGGCCTTTGGGACGGGTAAGATCAGACTAGAGAGGAGCGAACTCGGGGTTCTCCCCGCCGAGAGCCTGTGTGAGGACCGTATTCACCCCAGTGCACTCTGCCACTGTTGTGGGACAACCTTAGTGACTTTTTCTTCCTAGAGTGTCTTTAGGCTGCCAATGGCCGACCTTGGCCTCTACCCATTGACCACCACCGAGCCACAGCAGATATCCACCCATTCTGTTAAAACAGCTGTTCTAGATGACAGGAGCTGGAGGCAGATTGGAACCAGGGCTCCTGCAGTAATTGAGGGAGTCCCAAGGCGCAGCTGGAAGCCAGGAGGGGAATGGTCGTGGTAGCATTTTCCCAGACTTGTCCTGACTTCTAGAATTGTCACCAGATGCATCAAAGCGCCCAGGACAGTCCCAGTGCCAGCCCAGCTCAGCTGCTCCTCTCATCCTCTGCTTAGGGTGGAAAGGGGGCAGGTGAAGGCAGCCTGTCACATGGACAGGTACGGCCTGACAGGACCATCTGACTCTAACCTCAGCCTCTTCCATCCTCAGCTGGGAGTCTAAGTCCGTCCCAGGAGCCCTGCCCCAGCAGCTTGGGGCTGAGTATTGAATATCACTGCAGGCCCGGTCAACCCCAGCTCAGCTTGTGATTGTGTGTACTTCCTGGGCACCCTGAAGGGAGGAGGGCCTGCAGTTTGGGGGTTTTGCATCCTGCCCTCTGGGTTGGTAGGTGGCCAGGTCTGTCCCAGGAAAAGGCCCCATGACCTCACCTTTTCTTTAGTTGACTGGGTAGGCTTTCCCTGCCCTGGCGCAATGGCAGGTTCTGGCTGAGGAAGGCTAAGTATGCCACCACAAAACCATGGTTCTCCTGGCCCTGCGAGCGGTGGGGGCGGTTGATGTCAAGTCTCATCTCTCTGAGGGGTGGAGAGGCGAGCTGTGATGCAGTGGGATCCAACCAGTTGTCAGCCTGAGGTGCTCCTTCCCCAGTGACTCAGCAAACTGGCTACTCACAGCTGAACTGTCTGGGGTGCTGGGGAGGTCTTGCCCCCGCTGACAGCTCCCTGTGCAGAGGGGACAATAAATGACAAGATTTATTCAGCTCCAGGCTTAGCTAGTGACCCTCAATCTCCTATCCAAATCAACCCAAAGACAATGAAGCAGACAGCCAGGCTTGCTAGAAGGACATTTCCAAGTCCTTTCCCTGTGGTCTCCTCTGGAGGATCTGGGGTGGGGCTGGGGGTCTGTTTGTGACAGGTGCCCCCGAGGTGGTTCAATAAGCGGGACCTAGCAAAGGCAGTTTCACAGGAGATACTAGGCAAGGTAGGAAGTGGGTGGAGGAGGGAGGGTATGCTCTTAAATCCCCAGTGTTCTCTTATTACAGGGAGCCTCTTGGTCATCAGCAGAGATGAGGGACATCTGTGCATAGGACCACTTCCTTTTCCTGAATCACTGTAAAAATTTTGTCCCTTCCTAAATGCCCCTTCCTCTGCTCCATGGAGCCTGTGCAGGTAGCACTCACACATACTTCCTCCATGCCAGACATGGGACACTCAGCCTGGTGTGTCCATCTCTGTGCCTCTACTGCCCCAAACACAGGGCTAAGTAATGGAGGGGCAGTGAGTCAGCTGGGTTAGAGGTTGCAGAGATGAGGGTGGGGAACCAGTTCCCAGCACCCAACTCCCAATCTTCCTGCAGGCTCAGGAAGGAATGGGGTCCACAGAAGAATGACCTAGGCCGTGCCCTGATGGGGCTTGTCTCGATGGTGGGTATCTTGGAAAACACATTTGGGAAGGGAGCCAAGGGACCCCTTGCTGAAAGCAGAAAAATACCGAGCTGAATCTTAACATCCTTGGGGCCCTGGGCTTCTCCCCATCTATTTGCTCCACTAGTCCCTCAACCAAAACACACTCTCCTCCTTTCTGCTGCTGGCCTGCCTCAGTTTCCCTCTGCCCAGATGTGAATGGTAGCTTGGTGTGTGGCTGCATCTGGGGGTGCATGAGCTCACACTGATAACCACTCTCATACATCCCTCCAGGATAATCCCATAATGCTTGGATGCACAGCACCTTCCTCCCCAGGGCTCCAGCTGTGAAGAGCCTGCTATAAAGGCACCCTGGGTCTCTGTGGAGTTTGAGGACTGCCTCTTAGCCCAGAAGTAATTTGGCAGAGAGCTTACCTGACCTCGGGGCAGCCATTTTATCAGCAGGATCTACAAATGGTTTTTGAGCTCCTCAGAAGGCAGGCAGTGAGTAAATCCCAGGAATTATAGGTGATTAGCAGAACAATTCCACTCCAGAAGGTCTAGCTCTGAGCTGCAGGGCAGGACCAGGTAGAGGCCTGATGGTAGAGGCCGCAGGCCACATCGATAGTAATATTCCTGAAAGAGTGCAGGGGGAATTGTCCTAAGTAGGCTAGGAGAAACCCACAGCTAAGATCCTCAAAGCCAAAATTGTTACTATTTGCCTAGCTAGATATGAAAGCTGTTTGAAAAATGCCCTGCCCAGCCATAGCCGGTTTGGCTCAGTGCAAAGAGCATTGGCCTGTGGACTGAAGTGTCCTGGGTTTGATTCCAGTCAAGGGCACATGACTGGGTTGTGGGCTTAATCCAGTAGGGGGTGTGCAGGAGGCAGCCGATCAATGATTCTCTCATCATTGATGTTTCTCTTTTCCCTATCCAGTTTCTTAGAGTTATGGAGGCTGCTCTTTTTTTGGATGTATTCTGACAATGTGTGAGTCAAGTGTGTGACATTGTCCCCGGGTATCCAGGACGCTTGGAATGTGCACATGCAGGGAATTCTGCTTCTTGACATTTTCTTCCCATTAAAAAACGGACTCTCACCCAGCCAGTGTGGCTCGGTGGTTGAGCATTGACTCATGAACCAGGAGGTCATGATTCCATTCAGTAAGGGCACATACCTAAGTTTCTGAGCTCAATCCCCAGTAGAGGGCATGCAGGAGGCAGCTGATGAATGATTCTCTCTCACCATTGATGTTTCTCTCTCTCTCTGAATTCAGTAAAAACATTAAAATAAACAAAAAATGAACTCTCAGGTTTTCAATTTGCTTCTTTTTTATGACATTAGTTGAGCACATTTTCATATGCTTATTGGCCATTTGGGTGTCTTCTTTTGGGAGGTGCCTGATCAATTTATTTTTAAATTGACCTGTAATTTTAAATATATTTTGATAGATATTTTGGATAGATTTTTTCTTAGGTATTGTGATTTTAATGTAGTACAATTTGTTTGTGTCTTGTTTGAAAATCTTTGCCAAGCCCTGGTTGGTTTGGCTCAGTGGATAGAGCATCAGCCCGTGGACTGAAAGGTCCCATGTTCGATTCTGGTCAAGGGCACATGCCCGTGTTGCGGGATCAATCCCAGTGCGGGGATGATTCTCTATCATCATTGATGTTTCTATTTTTCTCTCCCTTCCTCTCTGAAATCAATAAAAAAAAAAATTTGCCAAGCCCAATGTCATGAATACATTCTCCTGTTATTTTCTGGAAGCTCTATCATTTTACTCTTCATATTTAGGCCAATAACCCATAAGATACCATTAATCATTTTCAAAATGTCTAAAATTAAAAAGACTAAAAGTGTTGGGTGAAGATATGGAGAAATTGGAGCTCTCACACACTGTGGGGTAGGGTTTTCAACTGACAATATATTCTAAAAAATTGAACAAACACTCAACAGGTTCATATATACATAAAACCCTAAAAGAATTGTGTATCTATGTGCATGAAAAAGCACATGCAAGAATGTTAACTATAGCAATATTGATATCAGCCTTCCCAACTGAGCACAAAAGTCAGGAGACTTTGGCTAGAAATAAATGGTTTTATTCAAGTTCTTAGGGTTTGTAAATCATAAACACAAGTAGGTAATATCCAGTGTTCTGAAGAAAAACTGAGAGTTCTTATAGTAAAAAGTATGCTCTTAAGAAGAATCAGCCCCACATGCTTTTTTTTTTTTTTAAAAGTATTTTTATTGATTTCAGAGAGGGAGAGAGAAACATCATTGATGAGAAAAGAATCATTAATCAGCTGCCTCCTACTGGGGATCAAGCCCACAACTTGGGCATGTGCCCTGACCGGGAATCGAACTGTGACCTCCTGGTTCATGATCAACTACTGAGCCACACCAGCAGGGCCAGTCCCGCAAGCCCTTGGATTGGTCCAAGATGGTGATCCTCTAGATGACTGGTGTTCTGGACCTGTGACCATTCTTTCCTAAGTCCCTCAGGGGTAATCAGGGTTACCTATAGGACCTATTTATCTGAGGTTCAAAAGTTTAAATTCCAGGCTAGTTAAAGCAAGAGATGGTTCCTCTGCCTCAGTTACTTGATTTTAGTAATTTAGCAGCTTGACTATAGTGACTCCTCTTTATTTCTTACACTCTTTCCTCAACATCACAGGTTGGGAAGGCAATACAAACAAAAGCAAGAAATGTAAGCTGTTGTTATCTTTTGAGAACAAATGTTTTCATTTACTCACTTATTCATTCAATAGATGTTCACTGAATGTTTACTATGAATAAGCACTTGTCAGTCTGGCCAATAGTATGTTCTAGAATTGTTAAAACATCGGCAGTTAAGAACTTTTGTCAGTGCAGGCCCAATACATTCTATTAAGTGAAGACCCTGTGGCTTTTATGACATCACTGCAAGTAGGTGTTATCACCCTCATTTTTCAGACAAGACACGGGAGGTAATGCCTACAACCACAAAACTAGAAAATGGCCAAGCTGGGCTCCACACCTGGCACTCCGACTAATCACAACCGAACCTCCACCTATTAGCCGCTACTAGACACCACTGCAGCATCTGGAATTATCAAGCAAGAAATGAAGCACTGCTGGGGGCAACAGGAAGATTCTTTTTTGAGAACCTCCAATCCTGAGAAATTATCGACTCTTCTTTAGTACTGAAGTAGGGAACCTGGAAGACACTAAATCCGGCCCACCTTAGGTTTTCACTTAATCCTCAGTGCTTGGGGAGCATCAAGGGCCCTTGGCAAACTCAGCGAGTCTCCTACCTTGGAGCAGACACTCCATGAAGCCTTGCCCATAGAACTTCAACAGTATCCTGAAACTCAATTATTTACAGATTTACTGATGGTATCTGGAATGTTTCAGACAGCACTAAATATAGGATGCTATTCTGCTTTACAAGACGACACAAGTTCAAGCAAAGGTTTCCTCCAGTCAAATTCCAGTGGATGCTTGGCTGGCACTTGCGATATTCTAAAAGCAAAGACCAGTCAATACAATTCTTGCAGTTTTGGACTAGGTCGCACATTCTAAAGAAAAATCTCCAGATCACTGCAAGGAAATGTCCACCCCAAGAATTAATCCTGAAGGAAGACAAGGCTCCTTAGAATGACTATTTATTTCTAAGAAATACTAAACTTGATCAGATTTTGCATCCCATTTAAGAATATCTTCAGCATTTTAAGGGGTGACAGTCAACATTATGAGAACAAACATATTTATCCTCTGGATTCTGAGGTGTACGAAAATGAAGTTAAATTAACATATCACTTACCAGAGAGCTGGCAGGGGGAACACAAACTAACATTTGTGCCAGGCTATTGAACCGAAAAAAAATCCAATGCTTAAGAGACAGTGGGTTGATGGAAGCTTTAACAAATGTCAATTAGTGAGCGGAAGTCTATTTTTAAATTCAGTTCTCTTCACTAAAATTGCTAAAAATGTCCACAGGGTATGGAGATTAATGCCCATGGCTATTTTCCACTTACCATGATGTCATAAAGTAGCTGCTGTGTTAAGACAGATATTAATACTAAAAAAGGGCAGTTTTAGAAGCAAATATTTTTCTTTTGAAGGCAAAACAAAAAAGATAGGCGAGGAAAGGTGAGAATTACTATATGTGGGAACAGATTTTCCAAGTACATCAATCAGAAAAATAAGTTATTAAATCAAACCTAATTATACAGAACTTTTTACACTGATGAGACTTAAAAATACCAGATCCCAGGGAAATTAACCTGATAATTCAAATTACTCAAGATTTCTAAGTAACCTAATTTTATTAGAACTAGCAAAACCAATTCCTTAGCAAGCACATTGCTTTTTTGTTATTTATGATGTTACTGCTTACTTTTCCATGTTTAGTATCCTGTTCTTAAATGCAACCATGATTAGAAACGGAAAATGACAATTTTTATATAATTAATTAATTACTTCTACTCACCTCTTAATGAATGGATGTTATACAAGAGATAAAATTTTTCACCAGAATGATTTTAAGCATATGGATGGCTCTAAGGGATATCTCCATACACATACCCTCTCCTTTCTAAGCCCTACAGATTTAAGAAAAAATTATTTAAGAACATTTTGATGGACAAAGATGTCTCCAATGTACAAATATACTTTATGTTGCTCCTTTAAATCTTTTCTATACAAAGGCACAGTATGAATACATTTCATACTCAGATATAGGAACAGGTATTGTATCTTGGAAACGTTTTTGCTTTTTCACAAATAGGTCCTTTCCTTCCGAATAATTATATACTTTCTTCTGAAAATCTACATCTGACTCAGCCATAGAAAGGATCTGGTTCCAGGTTAAAATCCAAACTAGAGGATAACACATGCTCCTGGGAAGCTGTTGGGAGGTAAAAATGAGGGAAAACAACCATGGTTTAAGACTATCTTTAAAATGCCTCCCAAACTCGTCTTAGGCACACCTTGATTCCAAGTAGCTCTGACCTTTAACTACAGATAGCACATACATTTAAATCGCAGGAAAAGACAGGCTTTTCTGTGGTAAATGCTGGAGGTGACTCTTCTTCCTTTTTGAAAAAAAACCCCCACAAACCCATTTGGAACAAGACTGCCCATGGTGCTGGGCTCTAAAGTGAGGACAGTGAGGAAGATAAAGTGCACTGATCCATCACCCTTTCATTTGTGTTTCCCACACAAAATAATGTCAGCTTCAAAAATTAAGGGTAAGAGGTATTTGAAGGAAGGGGAAGAGGGAATTTGGTGGATCAAAGCACATCTACTATAAGCAATGTCTGAAAATTTTTTCCTGTTTGTCAAGAGAAAATAATGCTGTGTCCCAAACCCTTTCAATAGACCATGCCAATTGTTACAAATTTCCTTCATGTATTCAAAGAAAAAGACAGTAGGAAAGATAGGATTCTCTGAACTCTGCACAATCTATATACATAAAAGCCTAAGCAACCGAAAGATTGGTCGCTATGACAAGCATTGACCACCAGGAGGCAGATGCTCAATGGAGGAACTGACCCCTGGTGGTCAGCACACTCCCACAGTGGGAGCGCCACTCAGCTGACTGATGGGCGGCGGCGGTGG